GGCTTAATCAGCCAGATGAAATAGACATAAAGGACAATTGGAGTTGGTACACACTGACATGTGTGGTCTTATGAGCATCCAAGCAAGATTACTCACGTTTTGGATAAGTTTATCTGATGCAACACAAGTCTTAAACTCTTGGTATATTCTGAGAAGGTCAAGACTAATGTGGAGCACATATTAGGTAAACTTATCAAGACATTTCGATCTGATCGAGGATATGAGTATTTCTTGGGATAGTGCAAAGACTATAGGGTCAATGAGGGTGTTGTGTACCAGTTTTCCGCAATTGACGCTAAATGCATTTAGGTGTCAAATAGGAATAACAGAATTCCACTTAACATAGTTAGATCTATAATCAGTTATGCCACATTATCTCTTTCATTTAAGAGTTTAGCGTTAATGACATCGATGCGCATTATGAACTGCATTCCATCTTAGTCTGTTTCAAGGATACCGTTGAGTTGTATTTTTGACTAAATCTTAGTTTGAATCACATGCGCATATGGGGTAGTCTTGCACATGTGCGCTTGATATGGACAAGTAAGTTAGAAACAGATCATACGCATGATAGATTTGATAGCTACTCTAAAAGTCACTAGGACGAATTATTTTATGATATCAATGATAAAAGTTGATTGTTTACACTCACTGTTTATCTATAGGAGAATCATATTATGAATCACATACCTAGTAGCATAGTGTTAGAGAATATGGTATGAGTACCAGATGTACCACATATGAACACACTTAGTATAGAGATTTAGAATTATAGATGAATTCCCTATTGATGCGTCAGCATCGTCTAGTACACAGATTCCTTCATCGGTACATTGATGTAGTGGGAGGATAATTATCTAATCCGACAGAATTATGTTTTTAGGTGAGACCGTTATGGATATCCCTGTTAAACATGAGTTGGACCCAGTAAGCTACACGGAAGCGTGAACCGATATAGATACAGATCGTTTTGGCGAGTTACTATGAAATCAGAGTTGGAATCTATGTATTCTAATAAATTCTGGGATCTTGTAGAACTTTCTAGTAGGGTGATTCCTATGGAAGGCAAGTTAATCTACAAAAATATACCAGAATATTTCTTAGTGAATAAATCATGAGTGTACAAGGGAATGTCATTATTTTTTCTGATTCTATATATATTGATGACATCCTACTCATATAGAATGATGTGGAAGGTTTGTCATCAATAAAGAGGTAGTTGTTCACTTACTTTTAAATGAAGGATTTTTCAAAATGTAAGCTATATTCCTAGGATCAAGCTTTTGCAAGATCGGGTTAAAAGGAAAATAGGCTTATCTTAATAATCCTACATTGATAAAGTTTTGACTAGGTTTGGTATGTATAACTCAAAGAATGAGTTCTTGCTTTATTAATATGGATTGCTCTATCTAGTAAATAGTTTTCCAAGACTAGCAGAGGAGATTGAGCAAATGAGACTGGAACTATATGCTTTGGCATATGGGAGTCTCATATAAGCCATGGTCTATACTAAACAGGACATCCGTTACATAGTAGGGATAGTCAGTAGATATCAGTCCAATTCTGGACTTGATAACTGGTCTGTTGTGAAAAATATCATTAAGTACCTAAGGAGAACCAATGATATCATACTCATTTATGGATGTGATGATATGGTCCTAGTCAGGTATGCTAATTCTGATTTTCAATCAGAAGTAGATACTATGAGGTTCATGACTTAGTGTATGTTCACTTAATGAAAGGGAAATCAGTTGGTAGATTGTTAAGCAGATTTCAACTGCTGACTCAAACCTGGAAGCCTATTGGTTTGATCTCACTGATTCAGAGGTTGTGGAGCATACTAGCTTGCCTATCGAGCTATATTGCGACAATAGTGTAGAAGTAGTCCAAACCAATGACCCAAGGTTCTATAGAGGAACAAGATACACTGAGAGGAAGTATTATGTTCTACATGATATTGTCCGGCAAGAAAATGTACTTGTAGCTAGAACATTGCATTGGAACATAACTTTGTTGATCCATTATCAAAGGTGTCATTGATCAATAATTTTGATCATCATCTGGATAACATTGGAGTTAGGTGCAATTTGAATTGGCTATGAGGGCAAGTGGGAGCTGTTGGGATTTATATACCCTGGCATAGCAAATTCCTGTTTGGATTAAAGTGACATATGTTCCTGACGTTTCTGAAATATTTATATGTTATACAATTGGTGAATTCAATGTATTATATTTCGATTCATTATAGAATTGATAGTGTCCATTTGATTACAAGAGATATTTATATATATGTATGTGATGGCAATCAATGTGTGATATATAAATAGTAATCATAAATGGTTCATAGTCGGTAATTATGGATGGACTCATAATTAATTAAGATTTGAACTGGATCCGCGTTAGGTTGAGATATATTGCGAGAGCCGTCGTATGTAATTGCTCCCTATCACCGTCATGGCATTTGACTCTTAAGCATGAGAAAATTATAGACTCTTTTATTAATTAATAATTACTTTGATTTGTTCGGCGGATTCTTCGGGATCCTTAGACCGACACTTTGGGTAGTTATGTAATTAATAGTTAGAGGGTTATATTTTCAATATTTGCATCATTGTTACTTGTATATATTTTGTATTGATTATGGTTGATCACAAAGTAAATTCGAAGGCCTTCGTATGTTTTTAGACAAAATGATTTATTATATATTTATTTATTTAAATTATTATTTTTGTTAAACAAATGTTTTATTGTGATCGAGTCAGAAATAATCAATAGTACCAAAATAAATATATTAATTAAGTAGTCGGATTGATGGCTTTATTTATCCGATAACAAATTATGCATAGAGGGGTCAAAGTGCAATATTGACTTAGAGGTTATTTATTATTTAATTGGAGTTCAATTAATTTCTTTTAGTGGAGTAGAAATTAATTTATGAATTAATTGAATTGGGTCCATGGACCGGGCCAATTATTAATTCATTGTAACCAATAAAATAATAGGCCCAATGGATTCTTACTCATAGCCCAACTTGATATTGGAACCATATTAGATTTGAGACATGTGAATTAGAGATTGAGAAGGATTTGTTGTTTCCTTTTCTTTATTTTTATGTTGCCTATAAATATACATGGTCTATATATATTTTAGGGAGATCTTTGGAAAAAGGAAAAAGGAATAAATTTTCTCTCTCTAAAAAATTAGGGTTAGTATTTTCATCTAATGGAGGCTCCCAAAAGCCTAGTTTTCCAAGGTCATTCATGGAGGCTTATGAGTGATTCCTAAAGGCAAGACCATTACCTAGAAGATGGAGATCCATAGAAAAAGTGTCTAGTAAAAGGGATTTACAATAAGTGAGAACATTCACTTTAGAGGAGAGATCTAAGGTTTACTTAAACCTTGATGTAAGTATTCAATCTTTTAATTGAATGATACATCATGTTTTATTTTTGCATAAAACTTGTCTCTATATAATGAATCAAGATTTATGAATTAAAATCCCTCGAAAAGTTTTTAAAATTATCACGTTTCCCAACAAGATGATGATGATGATGAATCCCCAACCCTGGCTCCTGAAGCTGATGATGACGATGATGAATCTCCTACCTTGGCTCCTGAAGGTGGTAATGATGACGATGATGAATGCTCTGCCCCGGCTCCTGAAGGTGGCCATGATGAATCACCGGCACCGGCTCGGGCTCCTGAAGGTGGCGATGAAGGTGGGGATGAGGCCCCCGCCCCAGCTCCTGAAGGTGGCCATGATGAATCACCGGCCCCGGCTCCTGAAGGTGGCCATGGACCCCAGCTCCAGATAAAGATGCAGCAAGTGATTTTTTTTTTTTTTTTTTTTGAATAAATTTTTTTTTTTAAAAAAAAAAAATTGAATTTAAGTAGTTAATTTATTTCTATTTCATTTAGGTGTTATGTTATTTAAAGTACACACTTTTGATTGCTGGAATTAGTTCAGTTTACAGATACGAGAAATGGTAATTTGTTCAATTAACATGCTCTCCTTCTATATATTTGACGTGTTTCTTAGTTCTTTGGTATAAGGTTGGCAACAACATTAATAATTAAGGATTACTCCACTAGTTAATATGCTTTAGTTAGAGCAAGTGTACACTCATTTGACGTCTTGTCTTGTCAAGCACACGAATGCTCACTCAGGCATGATTCTGTGTATACCATGTCCATAATTAAGGTTGTTTTGGGTACTTTGTGTTATTGCACTGTAGTTTTACAACAGCACCTACGAAAAAAACAATGTCAGTCAGGTCATTATTGTTGCAGCTGTGTGAAAAATCAAACTATCGAATTATATATTTTTTGTTTGTGCTAATAATGGTAAGTAAATCGTATTAAATCATGAAATTTCAACCAAGCCGTTTCATATGTGATTGCTTGTTCCTCAATTACAATTACAAAATAGAGAGTGGTACCCTCAATTACAATTACAAAATGGAGAAAGAATGTTTCAATAGGTTGTATTTGAAGAACACTATGTAATCATACGTTACGCTTGTTTGTTGAGCACGTGTAAGGCAATGGCCTTTATAAAAAAAGTACAGTTTTACCAAGGACAAAAAACAAAATAAAAAAATAATACCGATGATGAAAAAAAAAATGCTATATTGTATTGTGTATTACGTGTAATATGGTCTATAATAATGAATGATCATAGCCGAGTGTCAACGCGTTAGGGCGTCTTACTCAAAAACCAGGAAATAACATGTCATTCAGCACTAATCAGCAGTTACACGGTATTCTGCACGGCAGGTAATTGACAATCCTCCCGTTAATCAATCAATCAATTTCTTTTAAGCTTCTCAATAACAATGTCCTGCTAAGGATAGTAAATCCCACCATGATCATTATAACCAGAAAGATGTTTCCTTTCCCTCGCATTTTCTATTTTCAGCCTAAATAATTACTGTGTAAACCAACTGCACATGAATGCCACAGAACAAACACACACAGCCAAATCTGGAAAACAATGCGTATGCACCACACAACTAAACAATGATCAATTGAATTATAAAAGCTAAACCTGCTGTATGCTTACACACAGTTACTGATACAAAACATGGCACCAATTCCAACCACTACAAGCACAAGTGTTATATCATGAAGCCACCACAGAATGACTAGTATTCCGTCCCAAGCCAAGACCCAAGCCTATAGGAACAGAATCGGATCTGCCATGATTGTTATTATGGCTACAGTTGGAAGAATGAACATGACCTTGATGGGTTTTTGTGGTGGTGTTATTCACATTGATGACCACATGGCTATTTCCATTGGTTTGACGAGAATGGCCAACTCCATTTTGCAGGGTTGAATTCGGTTGAATTCCTAGCCATACGCATCATTCCAATCCCCTCCTCAGATTGAGCTGCTGATTCTTCATTATACTCCACGTCTTCATTGTACCCATTGATCAAAAAATCTGAACAGTTCTTCTTCAACCCATGATCATATGGATTCCGGAACTGACCACCTGCTCCTCTAAGGTAGCTATATCGCATTGCATTCGCCATTTCATTTGTTGTAATGTTGCGAGAAATCTGGAGCAATAAAAATTCCATCATTACAAATACTAGTAAAATACATCTTCAATATCTTTCAGGGAAAAAGCTACACAGTTTACTCATGTTGGTCCATCCTAACTGTCCCTACTGTCAAGGGTCAAACTTGGAAGGTTCCAAAACTCCCTATGACTGTATACCATATTTAATTTTTTGGATTAATGTTTTAATTAATAATGATACATCAATTCCATTATATTGCTTGGTCAATTTGTTTGGATGTAGACATAAAAATTCTAATACAACTCAACATCAATCACTTGATTGATTGGTTTTTCTCAGGTTGGTGTGAACTTTATAATCTTGAAGAGTTGGATCTGAGTGAGAATGGATTAAGTGGGACACTTTCTTGGTGTATGAGGAATTTAACATCACTCTGTTTCTTGGACCTCTCATTCAATAATTTCACTAGAAATATTGCCTCTTCTCCGCTTACCAGTCTCACATCACTCCAATATCTTTTCATTTCACATAATCATTTTGTGTTCCCATTGTCGTTTGCCTCATTTTATAACCATTCAAAGCTCAAGGTTATTTCAACTGATAACAACAGATTAAGTGGTAGTGACCCAATTGTGTTTCATTCATCAATAATTCCGAGCTTCCAACTGAAGATTTTGTCTTTGTCAAACTGCAATGGCATCGAGTTCAGTGCAACTCTTTTCCGTTTTCTGTATCACCAGCATGACCTGAGACTTAGAGTGATTGAACTATCACATAACAATCTGATAGGTGGAACGTTATTTATTTCTTGGTTGTCAGAGAACAATACACAATTGGATTATCTTAATCTAAGAAATAACTCCTTCTCAGGGCCTTTCCCACCGCCTTCTCATCATCATCTTCCTTGCAGTATTAGAAACTTACTTGATATCTCTAACAATCATATTCATGGTCAACTCCCAACAAATATAGGTTCCATCTTTCCCAGTTTATATTATTTAAACTTTGTTCGGAAATGAATTGGAAGGTAAGATTCTGGCTTCATTAGGTAATCTACATTCTTTATGGAGTTTAGACTTGTCTAACAATTATTTGTCAGGACAAATACCTCAACATTTTGCAATTGGTTGCTTCTCCTTAATGTTCCTCAAACTATCCAATAATAATTTGGATGGTCGGATGCTTCCTGATGTTGTGAACCTAACTAGCTTGAAATTTTTTTATTTGGACAATAATCATTTTGAAGGAAAGATTCCCAATAGCTTGTCTACCGCATCGCTTTTGACAACATTAGACATTAGCAATAACAACATGTCAGTGTTGAAATTTTATCTCTTATAATACAGCTATAGAATTGAACTATTTACTTCTTGATTTAGGGCTAATTGATAGGTAATTAGTTACCTATTTTAGCTAAATCTTATTCTATAAATTGGATGTAATACCATTAATGAATTATGAAATATAATTTTAATTCTAGTATTCTTCTCTGAATTTCAAGATGGTATCAGAGCCAAACTTGAACTGTATTTTTTGAATCTCTTTCAATTTATCTTTGATATTCCCATACACCATACACATACACACAAACAATCGTTGAACCCAATCAACCCTAGAGACCATTTTTAATCATTTTGCGGCAAATTCTTAAGGGTATAATCTTACTGTAACAGTTGCTGATGTTTTTGGGCACCTAGAGTGAAACAGAAATCTACTCGGCATAGTAGAATATAGTGAACCATACCGTCCCTAAACGACAACGCTGCCGGCGATCTTCCGACGATCTGCAGATCCGCCTGTTGCTGTCCATAAACGACGACGATGCTACCGAACCACTGCTCGCCGCTGCCAAACCACTGCACCGTCCATAACCGTCGCCGGATCTTCTTCACTGTCCATAGCCATCGCCGGATCTGCACTGCCGAACCGCTAGTATCTATAGCCGTCGTTGCTCCAAACGACGGCGACGAACCGCTGCACCGCTGCTGGCTATCTGCAGTCGCCGGAACTGAATCTGCCGTCGCGGCCATCCCAGATGCTACTTTGAATCTGTTGTTTTTCATTTAAAAACAAATACATACATACATATATATATATATATATATATATATATATATACCAAAAAAAAAAAAAATGAGTGCCTTGAATGGTAAATATATATAATATATAACTGAGTGCCGTCAATAGTAGATATATATATATATATATATTATATTTTTTTAAAAATGCCTGAACCATCTGGAGCATACAAGTCTACTTACAAATGCACTCATTGCAACCAGACTGGTCATGACAACAGTCGTTGTTTCAAACTTGTGAGATATCCGGAATGGTGGAATCATCCCCGTTGGAAAAAGAATTCAACACAGACCTCCACTGAATCAGTTGTTTAGACAACACATACTGCCTCCACTGAATCAGTTGTTTAGACAACACATACTGGTGGTAAGAATTTCAATATTTCTACACATGTTGGTAATAGTACATGGATAATTGATTCTGGTGCTACAGATCATATGACATTTGATTCTAGACAGGTCTCACCTCTTAATTCATCCTCACACATTTGTTTCTACAGCCAGTGTGTAATACCCCTAATTTTAAAAGGATAGTTCTGGAATTTAATTATTGTATTTAATTGCATTCTATTTGATTATGTGTCATTTTATTGGATTATTTGCTTGTTTGTTTTATTTAAATTACTTGTGAATTCATTTATTTAATTAATTGAATAATATTAATTATTTTAATTGGTTATTTAAATTGTATTTTGTTTTCCATTTAACTTAATTATATTCTAACGTTTTTAATTAGTTATGTGCATTTATGATTTAAATGTAAATTAGTTGTTTAATCATTAGGGTTTTATGTTATACATCGTGTCCGGGTTTGAGCCGACTTGTAGTTGGTTTAAGATTTAATTTAGGGTTTCAAATAAAGCCTATAAATACATAGTATTCGTCTGCTAAGGGCTTTGTTAACCCTATTCACGTAACAGAGAGAAAACACATTGAGCAACAGAGAAAGAATTAGAGAGAAATAGATAGTGACCCTTGAGAGGTTTACAGAGAGGTTCAAGGAGGAAGGGGTGGAGTGTTTCTGGGTTGAACCAAGAGCACTGGAGGTGTTTAACGGCATCCTAGGACTTTGACGAAAACTCAGAGACAAAGGTTTAAGATTTTTGGACTGAAATCTAAGGCAAGTTTTTGTTCTATTCTTTCCCTTTAATCTGTGTTCTGTGCATGCCTAGTTAGACTCCAGGGGTTTAACTAATGATAAAACGAAGTAATCATGCATGCTTAACGGACTAAAATTGAGAGTTTTATGGTTATATATACTTGTGCGTGATTTCATTATTTTCTTAGATCTTTATGTATGATTTGTGGTTTAACTTGAATCTTTGCCTACTATAACACTTAAAATAATTTAGTATGGACGTATGGAACTTAGGTTGAAGCTTAGGGGCCTTAACAATGAAGTTTTAGGGTTTACAGAGGCTGAACGGACGAAGAAGAAGACCTTAGCGCTAACTGAGGCGCCTAAGTTTGCAACTGAGACCCCTAAGTTAACAATTTAGCCCCCTAAGTTAGCAACTTAGGCTGCTCAGTTGTAACTTAGCTTGCTCAGTTGGGGTTTTGGATTTAAACGCCCAGTTTGGGTTTTTGTGCACTGTTTGGACTATACAGAGTGTTAGCTCCTCGTTTAAATTGTTTTAAGTGGACCTGTAATAACAAAGAGAAACAATAGTTCATAAATGGAATAGGGATTGGACAGTGTGAAACTCAGGATAAATCTATACGTTGCACACCGTTTTGCTAGTTATGCTCCGGAACTTTGCAAAGTTTTAATATATGATTTCATGATATATATATATATAAATCATGTTTTACAGTGTTTTAAGTATGGTGATTTAATTAAACTCAACTATACTTAGGTTGGATATAATTGGTACTTAATTGTTATTAAATGTATCAATTCATGGCTTAAATTTAATATAGCAGTTTACATTACTGGAATTGGATTTTTGGCTCTATATTGAATGTCTGTTAGATGTATATGCATTAAATTTATTTTGTGCATATTCTGAAGTATTGTCGATGACTATTTAATTACTATATTATCAACTACGTTAATTGGAGGATTGTATGTACCGGTATGAGACGGTGATATACTAGGTATGGACTAGTTCAAACACTAAGTTCTACCTAACTTGGATTAAGGTATGGATTAACCATATAGGTTAAGTCCATCACCTACTTGTGTCATATCAATTGAGAATTGAATGACCTACTATGGTTTCAGGATAGATTTGTTATACATATATCAGACCACTACATAGATGGATGGTATTTTGTATTAGGAAGAGTACGGACTTTATATATATATTATATGGTGTCGTGGTATGAGCTTGAGTCTTATGACTATGGTTAGGGCGCGTATATCGCCTAGGATGGATAACTGGATATAGGAGTTGTTCTCTGGTAGGTCTAGGTACTCATGCCCACCTTAGGGTGCGTATTTGCATGTTGCCTTCTATTCAAGCTGAGACAGACCTACTGGACTAGCGAGCGTCCTATAGTGTGTACTATATACATTTATGGACTACTCTAGATATTGTTGAGTCTTCCTAGGATGTATCTGCGTATCGAATTACTGTTTGGATTGTAGTAGATCAGGACTTGCATGTGGGCCTAACCCACTCCTTTATTTTTCAGGTGTTCGTCAATTCCAGGGTTAGAGCTTAGACGTGCAGAGCTGATACAGATATTCATTCTTCCGATTATGTAGGAATCTTCTCTATGTTAGCTTTGGATTTTATTTTTATTATTTTCAGTTTTGGTTTGAGACTTTTAATAAGGAGTCCAATAGATAGATTCCCGAGTTGTAAACTTATGGAGTTTTGGATTATCGGATTTGATTAATTATGATACAAGGATTTTCTTTTAGTTTCTTTCAGCTTATTATGTTATTTCGTATTTCACTTTGCATTCCGTGTTTGATTTAAAATACTTTAATTGTTCGATATCCCTCGGGTTTGGGCCTGGGCCTGGCCCTGATCAACCCGCGTCTCAGATCCGAGGGGTATCACAGTTAGTATCAGAGCACTCCAGGTTCAAGTGTCTCTAGGGTGTTTCGTATTAAGTCTTTCGCGTAGCGTTTTCTCTTGATTAGAGCTTAAGTTTAGGATTTGTTGAATTCCTTTACGGTTCGTTTAGAAAGTACTGACGTCAACGTTGTTCTGAAATTTCAGAATGTTTAGCACTAGGAGAAGGATGTGGTCCGTGATGAGAGCAAAGAAGGACCCATGGAAAAAGAAGGTTACTCCGACGATTCCGCTGTGTAGGCTAACCAAGAAGGCAGAATTGGAGACCAAAGACTTGCATCCAGTCAGTGTTGTCTCGGAGTATAAGGCAAGGAAGATTTCTTATGTGCGGGATTGGCCACCATACTGTGGACCGAACACAACTTCGGTTGTGCTCGAAGTTGAGCCAAGCAGAGAGGAAGACCCCGAAGAAGCTCAGGATGGAGGAGATACCGGAGCATCCAAAATGGAGGTTACCGGAGTTCAAGAATGAATGCTCTTCTAGGAGTGATATGAATTTCATTACTAGTAGGAGTGGAAGTGTTATTTAAAGAATAGTACTGTTTAGATAGCATACACTAGTTTTGTTAAAGAATATTTTATGATTATTCTTTTGGAAGTTTATGGTTTGGAAAAGTTTTAATAAAGTAAATTAGCGGTTTTGGCTATTTCTTTTGTAGTTTATGATGGTATTGTTGGATTTATACACATATGGTTTTATTAGACTATATTAGAATGTGTATGTTGTGATAATAAATGACTGTCACAGTGGAGTGGTTGGTTTGGACAGGCAAACAAGTATTTGCGTACACGTACGTTGTGTTGAGACGGGACGATTTTCCAGAAGCTTATACAAGAACTTGTGTAAGTCAATATAGTAGGTTTGGTTTAAAAGGAGAAATTCCCAGGATAGAATGATAATCTAAAATGGGAAGATTATGGAGCATTTTATTTTTACCTTATGTGTTTTACTCTACGGAGTATTCAGAAACATGGGATTTTCATGGATTGGGTGGTGACACACATATGCAATAGACCTCAGGATATTTCTACACCGTCAGGCGATACAGCCATTTTTCATGAGAGTGATGGGCCTGTGGCACTAGATATTGGCAGACTCAGGTTTCTAGCCAATCTATTGGCCCTGGACATGTACACTTATGATGTGATACTTGGGATGGATTGGTTGTCTCACTACCATGCCCAAGTTAATTGTTTTGATAGGTCTATTGTGTTTACCATACCTGGTCAGGACATGTATATCGTCGCCATGCCGCGTTCTAGCGGAGTCATTAGCACCTATTTGTTTCATGTGGAGGAGGAAACAGAGGAGGGGACTACTGTGCCATTGGATAACATACCGATTGTACAGGATTTTCCGGATGTATTTCAGGAGATTCCAGGGTTGCCACCTAGTCGCGAGATCGACTTTGTGATAGACTTAGCTCCAGGCACTACGCCTTTTACTAGGGCACCATATAGGATGGCACCCGTGGAGATGCGAGAGCTGAGGGATCAGATTCAGCAACTACTCAGCCAGGGTTTCATTCGCAAGAGTACTTTACCCTGGGGAGCGCCAGTGCTATTTGTGAAGAAGAAGGATGGTACACTTCGGCTGTGTATAGATTACAGGGAGTTGAATAAGGTTACTATTCGTAATAAGTACCCTTTACCTAGGATTGATGATTTGTTTGATCAGTTAAGGGGAGCCACGTACTTCTCAAAGATTGATCTGCAGTCTGGATATCATCAACTTCGAGTTAGGGAGTAGGATGTTCCAAGGACAGTGTTTCTCACTAGATATGGATCTTATGAGTTTCGGGTGATGTCGTTCGGGTTGACTAATGCACCAGCGGTTTTCATAGATTTAATGAACAGAGTCTTTAGGGCTTACTTGGATCAATTTGTCATTGTCTTTATCGATGACATTTTGATTTACTCGAGGTCTGAGGACGATCATGCTAGACATCTT